CGCCGCTGAAGAAGAGTCACCTTTTAATATTGTTGTGCGTAATTAAGGAGGGTGTATTCAATTGAGATTTTAAGGACTTTTTAAAACTTTTTAAATTTGATGACTTTTGTGGACTTTTTAGAACTTTCATGACTTTAGTGGACTTTTCGAGACTTTCAGAAAATTTTCATTAGTGACTTTTTAAGACTTTCATAATGGACTTTTTAAAACTTATTGAAACTTTTATATACTTGCAGTTATATTTTATGTTTGAATAAAATATTAATAAACGTAACATAATAACAAATATGAACAAGAATAAATGAAAACAAAAAGATATTGTATATATTAATCATCTAAAAATTTATGAATAAACTCATTTTTACGTGAAATGAGTTATTCACGAACAAATTATTTAGGATTTTAGATTTATTAAACGAGTAAATCGATCCGAGCTTCAACGAGTCTAATCGAGCAGGGCCTTATATTTGTTTGTTAAAAGAGTACAAGGTCAAATATGTTTTAGACATCTCTACTATTACGACACTTATAATCAACCCAAATTAAGATATATTTATTTAATTATTTATTGATTTTATTTTTTATATTTTTTGCATAATGTTGTTATATTAGAAAAATATTATTAGGTTATATTTTTACAATATACAAACATGCCGAAAAACAGTAATTGTATCTTATAAAATCCTCCTCTATATTAATCCAGAATGTACTGAGCCTACGTGGCTGCTTCTGATGCTTCGGAATCCTTTGTGGCAAAATTACCTGCTTCGTTATTATGTTTGGTAAATTTTAATTAAATTCCAAACAAAAAATAATTAAGTTCGGATTACCATAAATATGTTGATTATTTATGGTCATGTTACATGTATTAATTGCATTTTAATATCATTCCTTATTATAACTATTGAATTGTATATATTTTTTAAAAGTTAATAACTTTTGTATTTTTTTATCAGTTTTACATATGTAATATATCAAATTAATCTTCTTTTGATGAGCTTCAATTTAACATCCATATTGTATGTATAAAAAAAATAATTTATATTTATCTTTATAACAATAGTAAAATTATTTTTAATAATATTTCAAATAGTTATATGATATAAGTTATAAAAACTAATATAATATAACACATGTAAGTCATAAGTAACACATATCATTCTAAAATATATAGTAATATATATTCTTAAAAAAAAAAACTAAATTTAATATAGTTTTCTTATTAATTTTAAAATTTAAGAATAATTTTTTAACAAGCACCCGTGTAATACACGGGTGTTGTACTAGTTATCAATAATATTCAAAACATTTCAATATTAACAAATAAACTATTTGAAAATAAAATAATTTTTTTAATATTTTGAAATAAACATTTACAAATAAAAAGAAAGAACAAATAAATTATTTGCAAGTGCAACTATGAAAACCTTTGAAAAGTCAAATTCACAAGATAGCAAAATGAGAGAATAGAGTATATACACATAAAATAAGCATAATAAAGAATATATAAAATAAAAAGATCATTAATATGTAATGAAAATAAAAACTTACACAAGGTATCAAAATAAATAAGTAAAATAGTAGAGCATGAAAATGATATGAGATACAAAGTCGTGTTAGAAAGAACAAAATAAGAAGAAAGAGAGCGTGAAAAGAGTTCCATAAGTCCAGCAAAATCTCACCAATATTGATGAGATTTCTGTTGAGACTTTTTCTTTGTAATTTTGTTACAAAAGTCTCCAAAAGTCTCAAAATTTAAAAAGTCTCACAAAGTCATTCTGTTTTCAATATCGGGTGACTTATAAAGACTCTCAGAATGTTTTAATTGAATACCCTGAGACTTTTAGAGACTTATTAAAAGTCATTAAAAGCCTCAATTGAATACAAGTAAACTTTTTAGAAAAAATTCTAATTGAATACATCAGAATTCTAAAAGTCTTAAAAAGTCTCTAAAAGTGGCAATTAAATACACCCCGTAACTCTGAGTTGTCATAATTTTGTGTGATATTTGCTTCATTGTTAAGCTTATGTGTGAAATTTGTTTTGTGCATATTTTTTTTTCTTTAAAAAATTTGTGTCTTGAAAATGGTTTTCGTATAAGCTTTTAGTTTAATCGTATTTGATGGAAAAACTGATTTTGCCATCTGAATTTAAAATAGAAAATGAATGGTATACTCATTGCAAAAAAAAAGTTCTTAAAGTTCTTGATCTTTTTATTTTGCGAATGTGACGACTGAGAATAAACGGGTTGAAATTGATGAGTCTGCTTGTTCTTCGATTATTCTAAATTTATCTGACCTTGTGTTGAGAAAAATCGATAAACTAGACCATTGTAAAAGAACTTTGAAAAAAATCGTTACAAACTTAACTCGTCCAAAACTAAGAATAACAAGTTGGATATATTTATCAAACTTGTTCAAAATAATAAGCAAACTAGATATGAAGATACTGATAGTTAAATCTCTATTGATAATTATCCATACTCGGATAGTATAGTATAACACGACCTGTTAAGAAAATTATTGTACATGATAATAAAATTTTTCGTATACTCTAACCGTTAGACAAATCAATCTATAAATTTTTTAATAAATAATATTATAAAATTTCAAAATAATAACATTATTTTTAAAATATAATATTTTAATTTAAAAATATAAATATGCGATGAAAAGATTTAGCTGCTTTATTGATTAATTTGTACATGTTTTTCTTTGAAAATAAATACAACCATTGCACCGAACACTTGCAACTTACAAGTGTGTGTTACAATTCATACACTTTTTTTTAAAAAAAAATAATGTTTGGCGACCTTAGCTCATCATTGTCCCAGTGGTTATCAATGGCTTTCTGACCCACCATCGGCAGTTAAACCGTGGTTACAACATGACTTTGTTGGCATTACTTATCCGCGGAGTATAATTGTCTAATGGTTCTGAGGCTTTTTGTCTCCTTCTTTGTACCAAAAAAAAAAAAA